TTTTTTTCCTAAAATTTTAATAGGTAGTTGTATTGTTACTGAGAGAACAGTTATGCTAATGACTCACTACTTAGATGATTTTGCATTAATATAATAACCATTACCTGCCTTAATGCTTTGTACAGTATTGTGGCAAAATAGCGAAGTCTAAAAGAGTTACACAAAAAGCAGAATTCTATAATGAAACAGAATTATACTTCCCACATGAATAGTGGGCTTTTTTATTTTTTGAAGACTGAAATATTATGTCAGAAATGTATTTTCTTTCCTCTATGATACAGCTACCCTAGCATGGTATCTGTGTGTGTGTGTGTGCGTGTGTGTCAGTGTGTGTTCTTTTTACAGACCACGAGGAATGGAGAGAAGCTTCCTAACTTTTCAGGCGTATCCATTGGCTTCTTAGTTAGCAAAACGGCTGTCTTTCTGAGGGCAGCAGTGCTGGGCCTTCTGCACTGGCTCTATCCTGTATGGTTTTGTAGAATTTGGCATCTTTTTCCCCCCCCTTTTTTTTTAGTGGAGCCATTTTCTTTGATGTTCTGGAGCCTTCTAATTTAATCTGTTTTGCTCTTATTGATGAATCAGGTAACACTTCCTAACCTGGTCAGTTATCATCTAAATACAGCCTGAGGTCTGTGGGCTCCAGTTTCCAAGGACACGTGTGTGGTGAAAAACCAGAGATTAAAAATAGTTTCTAAATTATTAATCCAGACTACTCAAAATAGAACTGTGTTTAAAATGTTTTCTTTTCTCATTTTTATTTGTACACACAGCAATTATGAGAAGAAGCTGATGTACAAATTTGTGTGTATGTACTGGGCAGTATTTCCTTGTAGATAAATAAGTATAAACTAAAGAGAAAGCAAAGAAATGACAACGTGTTATTTTCAGTATTCATATTGTGTCTTCTCCCCTCCCACCCAATTCCTCCAATTGTCTCCTAGATTAAAAATAAGTATTGTTTCTATGGGTGTTTTTATTTGTTAGCTTTTTAGATTTTTTTCCCCTTCCCATCACCTACCATGCCCCTTAGGAGCAAAAGAAAATAATGATACGTGTCATTTGAATGGTCTTCTAGCATTCAGATGATACAAAGTCACCTCGAAGTGAGAGAACTGCGCCGGGCAGAATGTGCCCAGCAGTGCACGGGCTTCTCCGGGCGCCTGCTAGTGCTGCGCAGCCGGTGGCTGGTGGTGAGGTGGCAGCAGGCCCACGCGAGCAGCTCTGAGCGCCCGGGCTCAGCTGTGTTTCTGCCACTGGGCAGATTTATGCACACCTGGGTGAGCCACACCCAGTGGTGTAAGTCAGTGGTGTGTCCCGCAGGGGGGGGGGGGGAGAGTGAGTGTGTGTGTGTGTGTGTGTGTGTGTGTGTTCTTTAAATGTCTGCCACACGTTTAATTTGCATTTCTGATCCCTGCAGGCAGCTAGACAGAATCATGCTCGTTCTTCATAAATTGCCTTCTAGGATTCGTTGTTAACTCAGAAAACATACTCATTTCTAGATACTCAAACAGTTAAGGTAGTTACAATATCACGGATACAATCTTTTTTTATTATATTTAAATTGTCATTTGGGAAAGAAATCAAGACCTAGGTTGAACTCCCAGTTAAGGCACGAGCCTTGTAGCACAGAAAACATCAGAAATTAATGTGTTTTTTTTTTTCTCAAGGAGGGTCAGGGAGATGGCCTACAATTGGGGCCAGAAAGTTTTAGTTTTGACTGAATATCACCAAGAGGGGCCCATAAATATTAGAGCACTGTAGTTAAAAACGCACATGACTGTTTTAAATACTATTGATTTAAACCACTGGCTAGATTTTATGAATCAAAGTGTAATTTCTGAGCTTCGGCCATATTTCTCAGACCAGAGCACTCTCTCTTGTGTGCCTTTAGCCGCTTTCCAGACATTCGACACAGGATTAAATGATAGTAGTTACAGTGATCAATAGGTTAAGACCGGCACCATCACTCTTGCTGCTAATGACCTCAGTCGTAATGGGCAATAAAGTGTGGGCTGTAAGAGGCTCTCGCTGGCACTGCACGCCCTTTGATTCCTGTGCTAGTGGGGACTGGCCACATGAAAAACTTGGACATTGGGAGTTAAGGGAGTGGATGCAGAGGCTATGATTTTTAACTAGAGCCGTACCCTATGTGTCCCCTTCTTTCTGCGCCGTGATGCTCTGGCCAGTGGGCGAGTTTGCTGAGCTTTCCATAGCCTGTTTCCAGGACATGTTGGAGCAGAAGCCTGGGGAAGGGAATCTCAGTTTTATCACATTTGTAAATTAAGCTCAAGTCCACTTTGGAGGCTCAGAGCTAACTGGTGTGAAAATGTGGTTTCAGATAGTAAACGCGAAGTTGAGGCTGGTGAGATGTAATAGCCCACTTCTGATTTTTCGGGGACGACCCCCAAGTGGAGGGGCAGCTGTGGGCTTCTCGCCCTCTCCTTCCCGTGGGCTGGCTCTGCTTCAGGCTCTGAAACTCATCAGCACCTCCCTCAGAGTGCCCCAGGGACAAAGGAGAGGCCCAAGCTCACTTTCCCGTTCCTCACAGGACTACAGAAATTGAGTAAATAACCACGGGAAAGGGAGCTTTAAACTCTTGGCTGCATGTAAGGGTTTGAACATTATCTATATATGTCAGCCCTCTTAACTGTTTAAATTGATTTTATTGAAGTGCCATTTACATACTATAAAATGCACTCCTTTTACCTGCACAGTTGGAAAAATTCTTGATAATTTTATACATCCTTTTGAGTACCATTTCAATCAAGATGAGGGCATTTTCATTAGCCCCCAAAAGTTTTCTTGTACCCCTTTCTGACAGGCTTCCATAGTTCTTTTAAAAATTACAACCAAGATGTTTCTATGATGATTTCTGTTCTAACACTGGTAATTTTGTGTTCATCGCCTGTTTAGATCTTACACCACCCTATTCCTGTCCATTTTCCTGTTCATCACCATCAGAAATTTGGCTCAAGAATATTTATATTGTACATCATCCAAGAAACGCAGAGGAAAAAAGAAACCTTAAACATGGTTCTTTGTTTGCTTAATCAAGTCTCCCTGTATGATGATGCAACTCTCAAGGAAAAGTAAACTTCTATTGTGATATGTTAGCTTAGCAGCTCGAGATAGTGATTGGCACCCAAATGCATATTGAACAATTTAAAATGTTTTTCAGGAGAGATACTGGAGTTAATTTCTAGATGGTTAGGTGTTTGGATAGTGTCTGGTGTTTGCCCTACACTGAGTGGAAGTCCACTGGAAACCACTGTGATAGTTTGTGCTTCGAGGTGTCTTTTTTAAAAGGATCATTTATCCATTCAGATACATCTGTCCCTTTTTGCATATAAAAATATTCAGACATTCCCTTCTGTTTTAAATTACAATGTATCTATATCTTCACTTGAAAGCCACTGCAATAGGAAGAATTCGTTGATGACCTAGAGTTGAGTTAATGAAATTTTTTAATGTTCTCGGCTGTGTTTCCAAACAATGCGAACCGTGCAGGTGAACATCCTCACACACAAACATGCCCTCGACAACAGTGCGGGTGTTCTGCACATGGGTCTGACCTTCAGGAGCCATTTTTAGTTCATCAAAATTAGTGATGCTGAGAAATCGGGACATCAGTGCATAATGACTGTGAAATTAGGAATGAGAGCTTGCTATGCAAATGACAGGACAAATCATGTGAAAAAGTCAAGATAAACTGCATATTAAGACATTATGTTACGTAAAATTAATACTGCATTTCTCGCTTTCGCTTGCTGCTCCCCTGAAAGATTTTTAAATTCTTTTATCTTCTGATCAGCTATTGTCTGCCGGATTTCTTTTTCAAAGTGGCACACAGGCAAAGTGCAAAACATGTTATTACCTTTTATTGTAATACATGAGATGACAGCAGACCTTTTTAACAAAGTGTATCCTGTACTGCTTCTTGCTGTCACATGTTTGGTTAGAAACCAAAGAAAAGTAAGATGCTTAAATATTACTGTTAAAAGACATACAGGTTTTGTCTTTTCTTTCATTGTTTTTTTCCTTTCCTTATCTTTTTTATTGGGGGGGGTGATTTTTCATGAAATAGTCTTCTTGTATTACGGGGACTGACAAAATGGTTCTCATGTAGTCTGCAAATTAGACACAAGTGCAGTGATTATTTTGAATAGCTAAATTACATTCTAGAAAGCTTGCAGAATTCATAGCATTGTCATTAGGTATCCGCTTGAATACAATTTGTGTAACCTTGGCCAAGACAGCCTGTCATTTTAATGTCAGTGTTTTATCTGAACAAGACATCATCCTTTCAGATACCGGGTGCAGGTGCCTTGCAGAGATGCCCGCGCAGAACGTGTTAACAGTTGCAAATATGAAATGCTATCAAGTTCATCACTGGAGCTGTTTGTCACTGAAATGTCATGGAAAGCGGCTTTAATGGTGTCACACATAATACGAAAGAATTGAGACATCTGTGTGCTGGGTGAATGAGGAGGGTAAAGGCATCAGGGGAAGGGCCTGTGTTGAAGTTCAGGAGGTGCGTCTGAGGTCGCTGTCCACAAGACGGCATTCCTCGGTTGTCCTTAAAGGCACCACCCACAGGGAAGTGGATCCTGTGGGCTCCAGCTGGGCGACCTGGTTGCCATTTGCCTTCTCTGAAACGAAACTTGTTTGTGTTAGCTGCACTGTGACAGAAAAATCGTTCTTAGGAAGAAGTTGAGATGGTTCTGACCTAACCCCAGACTCATTAACTAAGCCTGGAGTCCTTGTCTGCTTGTAAGAGCGCCTGGGACACCTGTCGTACTGCAGGGTGTGTGTGTTTACACTTAAACTTTATAATAGATTCAGTAGGATCTGGTGCTGGTCCCCTCTGGTTAAGCCCATTGTACGTGGGAGACTGGTCAGTGCTGTAAGCAGGCTGAGGACGGGCAGCCGCTGACCTGGAAAGGCTGAGTGCTGTGTGCTGGGTTCCCTGGCCCCCTGCTCATCCTGTGTTAACATTCCAGGTGCCCGTGTCAGTGGCTATGATGACACCTCAAGTTATCACTCCCCAGCAGATGCAGCAGATCCTCCAGCAGCAAGTCCTGAGCCCGCAGCAACTCCAGGTCCTCCTGCAGCAGCAGCAGGCCCTCATGCTCCAGCAGGTAACGCCCCTTCCTCCCCCACGTCCTGCAAGGCCTCGAACTCTGCCAGGCCGCCCCGCCCCGCCACCCCGCTGCCCTGCCTGAGCAGCTCTCCTGGGAGAGGAGAGCAGGAGGGTGGGACCCGACCTGGGCCCCTAGAGTCAACTGTGTCGCGTCCCTGAAAGACAGACCCTGCCAGGGCCACTAGGGTTTGGGCCTGGAGAGCACCCGATGGACTGAGATCAGGGCTGTAATTGGACTTGGTGGGAATGAGGTCTTTAGGCTTACGTGGCTCATATTCTTTTACTCGGTAAGCCCAGAGGCTTCTCAATGTGCGGGTCCGAGTGGAGCAGTGAGGCACTGGCAGTGGGTTTGACGGGACAGCCCCGCCATCCCCACTTTAACCCAGATGCTTACAGCCCGTCCTTTTACATAGAGAAAACCACTTTGGGGTTGACGAATTGTAAGGTACATGGTCGATTTTACTTCCTTTCCTGTGCTGATGCTGAAAGGCACTCTGGCTGCCATTGTGCCTGGACACCGATCTTCACACTTCATGGACACCTGCAGGCAGAAGGCGAGGCTCCGCGGAGGGCCCAGTGCGGAGGGCTGGGGTGTGGGGCGGTGCAGAGGCGGCGGGCTACCCACGCTGTTGCCGCGCTCGCTGAACAGCCTCCGCGCTGCCAACCTGTCATTGAGGAAGCCTGTGGCTGTCTCGCAGGAGAGGCACCGGACTCCCAGCAAGGGCGCTTGGCCTTTGTTGTACACTCAGAGGTCACCCCTTGCTTTACTGTAATTAGTTTGTGTAGAAAATGGTATGTTTTTCATCAGTTCATTTGGGGGATTACTTTTCAAACAATAATGCCAAGAATAGTCAGTGTGCGCTGAAATTTATTGTTGAGTTTCAAACTAAAGGTCAAGCCGTTACAGATAAAAGGATGCTATTTTTCAAACTCCGGTTCGTGTGGCACCGAGAGGGGCCGTGGGCTGGCACTACCTCTGACTTACCGTCCTCTCTTTTCTTTGTAGCAGCAGCTTCAAGAGTTTTATAAAAAACAACAGGAGCAGTTGCAGCTTCAACTTTTACAACAACAACATGCTGGAAAACAGCCCAAAGAGGTACCGACAATACATATTTTACTTTCAAACCACAGATCCCAGAGGACTATCTAGTGGCTATTAAGCTGTCATTCATCTTTCAAATGATTGCACAACCGAGCTGACTCGATCGGTCCTCAGCTTTCAGACCGAGAGTTATTGTCGTGTTTTCGCTCAGGTGTTTCTGGGCTCCATTTGTTTGCTGACGCGTGTGTGTGCCACCACTGCAGGCTCACCTAGCATGTGCGTGGGGCAGGGATCGTGGCAGAACCTTAGGGTTCCTTCTGCAGAAGTACCTGGGGGAAGGGAAGTGCTTGCAGTGAAATTGCATTTGGACACACACTTGATTATTTTTTCCGGCTCAGAGAGCTTGGGTGTGTGGTGAGGTTGGAGACACAGAAAGTGGGAGCAAGATTAAACACCCACAACCTCCGTTTAACTTCTTCATGCAAATTGTACGCATTGGAAGTGCTCCAGGCAAGTCCGCGATGGCCCAGTAGAGATCAGAGAAGGCTCAGCTTGGAGTCTGTTTCCCTAGCGACAACAGCTACAACGGGGTATTACAGCCGCTGCATGGACGCAGCACTTTGGAAGTTCGCATAGTGATTGCGTGTGGCATCCCATCCAGTTAGGGGCAGTATCAGCTCCATGATGGTAAAGCTTTGGGGGTGTGGGGTTCATCCTCCTCCTGTTGGTCCCGTGTGCCAAGGCTCCGTCACTGGGGGAGTCTCTGTGCATTATCATGACATCTTTCTACCCGTTCCAAAGCTGTTCATGGCAACTCACTTCCTTGTGTCTCCACCGTGACTGGAGTTCTTTTCATTGAAGTGTCTCCTCCTTGGAATGACGGCATCTGTAGTTTGATAAACAGCTTGCAGTCCAATGCAATGGCTTCTTCGCTGGCCCTAGGCAGGTGGCCACTTTCCTTGGTGGGAAGGAGTCTTTCCCGGTGACTCCACACCCATCCCTCACCTGAGTGTGGGGCCGGGAAGCACGGACCCCACACAGGGGAAGGACCCAGCCCTCCCCCCTTGGTGGTTCCTCCCTCCACACAGCTGGTGCGTTTCCCGTGCCCTGGCAGGTTTCCGCCTCGGAGCCCTCCTTAGCAGCCTGGGTGCACCCCACAGAGCAGGGCCAGTTTCGGGGTGCAGGGGAGGAGGTGCTTTAACGAAAATGCTGACACATCTGTGTACAGTGGCGTGGTACCGGGTGCTGCTGTAATAGAAAAGGGAACAGATTAAAAAGTGTCTAAAATGTAAATCTAAAGGACTAACAGTAATTAAAATGGAAATGGCAGAGGGAGGGAAGGCATGTAATTGTGAGATATCACTGTGCGGAAGGCTCTCAGCTTTGTTTTGCTGGCTGTTTTTCTAATTCAGTGGGGCTTACTCATCAGTGGCAGTTCAATGCGCGTTAATGACTCCGGGATTGCAGGCATCACTCTGGACAAAGAAATGATTATTGTGCGGTCAAAAGAAGTTCAAAGACAAGAAGGGAATTTCAGTTTTTTCCTTAGAGATCCACATTCAAGAGCATATAAATTAAGCCAAATGTTAAAAACCACAGTCTGAAAGCTGACTTCAAAGTCACAGCTCTCTAATTAATGAACTGCGAGCTTCAGTTTGGACAAGTTGTGGTTTGGTGCGCCCATAAATCAACATGACAGGCCCGTGTCCCAGGCTCAGACAGTGCTTGTCACTGAGTCACAGCAGATGTAAACACAGCAGAAAAAGGGGGATGTGAAGGAGGTGCGATTGATCAACAGAATTGGTAAAAACCCACTTTTGAAGCACATTATGCATGATCACAGGAAATGGTTACAGCCTCAAGAGGTTTCCCCTTCTGCTGTTGCTTTTTTGAATCAGATTTCTAACAGCCTTCAAAAGGGAGAATAAGAATTATGGAGTTTCTCCCCCGTGGCTCGCAGGCAATAACCCCCTGTTGTTATTTTGTGCTTCTTTCTTTTCAAAGGCATCAAAATTTAGTTTTTTAAAGATCTTTAACTCTATATTTGAAGACAAACCAAAAAGGGCTGCCACTGTCATTCTTATCAGTTACCAGGGATCGCAGTCTTCCTTTCTGTTGCCACTTCTTATTAACCTCTTACTTGGTCTGTGAGCCGGAGCTGGGGCACGTCTGCGTGCTGGGAGAACTTGAAAGTCCAGATGCGCTCAGGGCAGATAAAGAAATGCGAGGGGGAAGTTATGCAGCAGAAGGAAGGATAAAAGTTAACTCTCCCAAATTGCTGCTGTCAGAGGGCACCTCTGCCCGCAGAAACGCCGTGATGCCCGAGTGTGGGAGGAGGGGGAGGAAAGGGGTTCTGAGCAAGGAGGTGAGACACAACAGGAGCATTTCCGTCTCCAGGGCATCACTTTTGCTGTGCTCAACTTCGTCATCCATTTTGAAGGCGGGGGTGGCAGACCCATGGCAGGTCTTCCTGGAGTCCAGGCATGGTCACGGGGCCAGTGGACTTGGCCAGACTGTTGTGCCTGTGATAAGGAGACCTTGTGCTCCTGAGGTGGTCTGCCATCAGCATGCAGGTGTGGTCCTCTTGTGCCACAATGGGATGGAGTCACATGGTACCAATTCGTGATGTGGACTGGTGGCTATGACTTGAACAAGGCTTGAACTGGGATGTTGACAGATGGAACAAGTGTATTAATTTACTGAATCCCCAGTCATTAGTGGCTCATAATTTTGAATTGTCAGGTCTCCTCCTCTGCTCCCCCCTTTCCTTTCTCTTGATTAACTTTGCTGTGAATCTCTTGATCTTAGACCAGAACAAGGAACCTTTATTTACTTGCTTTTTGCCTAAAGTTGTCTCAAAGATGTTTCCTTGAGAAAGCGGGGCTCCACACTGACGGGGACCGAAGCTCTTCCTCAGGAGATGGATGGAGACTGGGCCGTGCAGCGGGCTGTTCAAGCCACTGCTCAGAGAATGGGTGTGGGCACTAGGGGCCGGATCACTAGTGAGTCAGGCCACAAGCAAAGTCCCCATCCTGCATGGGTGAGGGAGGCTCGGTGGATTGTTGTAAAGGGCCGTTTGTCCGGGCAGTTATGACAGTTTATGTTAGGCAGTAGGGAGGAGCCGAAGAAAGGAAAACAGACCTTTGACTGCAGCTCCAGGGAGGGGATCCGAAACGCCAGGTTTATCAGGGCATTTGAGCATTTTAACACTGACTACTGACCTGTCGAGGGGACTGCACGGAGACCTTTTTTGTGTGCATTCAATTGTGAGAAGTAAACAAATGGGCTCGTATCCTGTGTTTGGTAACTGGGTGGAGAGCCGTTTGGCAACCAGTATTGCTTTTAAATTCTTTCTTTGGACAATGGGCCTTGTATACTTTTATATCCTGGCTGTTCAAACGCGGACAGCTTTCATGAGCTTTCCTAGGGGTGGCTACAGTGACAACAGAAAAGCCATCAGTCATTTTATATAAATACAAAATTTTTAAACATTTCATTTACAGTAAGACAGGAAGCGCCCTCCCTAAACTCCAGCACCCCTCCCCCGTTATTTCCCCTTCAAGAGCAGCTAGATCCCTCATCTTCTATTGTATCTGTGTTGGTCCCCCCCCCCCCTTTAAATGCTGTGAATTAATATCTGTTGAAGAAGTGAAAAATCATTTTGACATGAATATAACTATCATTGGGTTTTACATTAATGTGATAACTTGGGAAGGGGTGAAAACAATTGGATCATTTTAAGCATGCTGTTCTTAAAATGGAAACACTGGCTTTTCATTTAAATGTATTTAAATTTTTGTTGTTAGTGGTATAGAATTTGTTTTTTGGAGTGAAACTCAATTAACTTTCTCAGTGGCATGGTAGTAAGTCTGAAATTGGTTGCTAATAGGAGAATGATGGTTTTTTACTGTGAAATAAACTGCATGAAGACCGAATGGAAGCACTGTTTCTGTGTCCCTTTGCACGCTGCACCCAGAAGGCCATCGTGTGCGGACCGGGACCCAGGGCGGGCGCTGGGCCCAGGGCAGGCAGTGGTTGTAACCTGTAGTCGGCAGAAGCGGTGGCGGGGCCTCGTAGGCTTGTTCGCTGCAGTCTTCCTGATGTTTTGAATACACTTAGAATTCGGAAAACGTATCTTGCTCTTTTCCTGAAGAGTCTTTTTTGGGGGCTGCAGTTTGGGAAGGGTTAATCTTCCCTTGGGAACTGTTAGCCATGCAGTGGCTGAGACCTCAGCCTCCCTCTGATCCCTCACAGATTAAGGATATGAGATAATTTCCCTCTATTTTTGTTCTGCTGCACTGTATTATCTTTCTATCACTCAGATAATTACTGAGGAAATCTACATTAATTTTTTTGGCTGCAGCAAGGCCTGCTAAACACAGGAATGATGTATTGATGTTTTACACAACAAAAGTTTCCTCCTGTCATTGTCCAATCAACAGAAAGATATTTATCAAAGGTAGAGCCCCTCTGCAGGGCCAGCCGGGAAGCAGGGCGCGGCCTGGAGCCGCAGCCGCGCGGCCTGAGCGGTGTCTCCGAGCGGAGCACAGTGGAGTGTGATGTTGTTTGCTAAATTATGAATGTGTGTAATTAAAATCTAGTGGCTGTTTCTATGAAAGATTTACAATGTTATTTCATCGTTTGTCATGGCTAATTAACAATATTAGATGAAGTTTTTCTTCTTCAAAGGTCTGACTTTTTCTCATTTATTTATGTCAGAAGTGATAAACAGTAGTTAAGAGCTTGTCCCAGAGCGCGGGAGGAGGGCGGCTCGCTCGTCCCTCCTCGCGGTCCTGAGTTCAGGTCCCTCTGCGCGGAGCGTTGGGGTGTTCTTTCTGGTGATCAGAGGGTTCGCGGTCTGGGGTTCCGTGCTGACCAGAGCCCGGGCCTTCCCAGCTGTGGGAAGAGCTGGGTGCTGGGTGAGTCACGCCGCGGGGGGGCAGGCAGGCAGGCTGGCCCCACCTCCGCAGTCAGAGGGTGCCCCTCCCTCACACGGCCCGCAGGTTGGAGGCCGACGGTGCATGTCCGTGCGTCCTGCGTCCGCGCGTGCACACGCGGCTGTCCTCGCCCCTGGCCATCTCACACCCTCTTTCTGTCTCTTGCAGCAGCAGCAGGTGGCCACCCAGCAGCTGGCCTTTCAGCAGCAGCTCTTGCAGATGCAGCAGCTCCAGCAGCAGCACCTCCTGTCTCTGCAGCGCCAAGGCCTCCTCACGCTGCAGCCGGGCCAGCCCGCACTGCCCCTGCAGCCCCTCGCGCAAGGTGGGTGGTGCTGCCCCGCTCCGCCGCCCCGGGCGGCCGGCCGGGGTCTGGGCGCCGAGGAGCTGTCCTTCCGAGCATGCGCCCACAGGCTCAAAAGAAAAGTCCAAGTGCGTGTTGGTGCCACGGGGTGGCCCGGGGCCGTCCTCGCAGAGGAGAAGGCAGTGCTCCTTGGACCTGCGGAGCTTTCCCCAGATCCAGTGTCTCAGTTTGGAATCACAGATGAATTTTCTTGAAGGTTTTTTTTTTGGTCATTTTCAGCTACATCTCATGACATATAACTTGTTCTGTTTTAAATCTCACTGGTGCTTTATAAATGCCACTTTTTATTACCTAAGAATAGAGTCAGGTTTATTTTTGTGTAAATAGTTAAGATTAAACTCTTTTCTGTTATAAAAACAAGAGGTTTTTGTGGGCTTTTCTCTTTTTCTTCTTCTTTCGTTTTTACCTTTCTCTGCCCATCGTTTTTTGAGCAGGTTAGACCTACACTCATCCGGACAGGGGCACTTATATCTCTTGCTCTTCAGAATCGGGGTTCTTTAAAAAATAACAAGATTTCATAGATGTAGAATTTTTCTATAGAAAAGCCATTGACAGGTAATCCCAGTGGGTGCTGGGCGTCAGAGACAAACATGTGCCGAGCTGTCTTCAGGACATCCTCGTGCCTTAGGCCGCTTCTCACGTGTGTGGTGCGAGGCAGCCGGGTTCCTGGGAGCCGGGACGTAGACCAGGACTGCGTGCCGGGCTGTGACATACAGGCCCGCAGCCCAGCCTTGCGCCGCCAGATCTCCTCTCTCCTGCAGGCCCGGGCCCTCCAGTTCTAACGCATCTGGATGGATGTGTGCCTGTGCCTATGCCTGTGTCTCAAAGGCTGGCAGCTGAAGCCTTCTGTGGCTTGGATCCAGTTGCTTTCTGGATAGGGCTGGAAAGAGGGAAGCTGCTTTACCCTCCTGGCCCATAAGGCGTGGCCCTTTGCTCAGAAACTTTTGGTATCAGGTGGAACAGTGAGGCCTGTCTGCATTTTATTCTTCTCTCCTGAGTCAAACACACCCGATTTCTATCCCATCTGGGTTTTTGGCGGGGAGGTTTATACTGCTGAGACCAGAGCTTCTTTCTCTGACTCCCCTTGTCCCTCCCCTTTCTGCCATCACTGCTCAAGTGCCTGGTGGGTAATCAGCATCTCCATGGCTCTCGGAGGAGGGGATTGGGTAGCTGAGCGACACCAGGGGAGACAAAGGGCACATTGGCTAATGCATCTTTGTACTTGCAGAATGCTACAACGAGCATTAATTAGCCTTCGCGTTTATCGTTGGAAACACTGCAGGCTGTTCTGACACACCCACTGGACTTAGGTGCCAATACTCATCTGTTCCCTCTGCCCTGTTCTGCTAAGTTGACTCACTGAGGCTCACTTGCAGTGCGTCCGTTAAGCTCTCCAGAAGGGGGCAATTGGGCAGTGACAAGACAAGCTCACGTGTAATGTGAGAGAAATGAATGTGCTGATGCATGAAGTGTAATCTCTGCAGTAACATATCAGAGACACTGGTAGGTAATTCGCTGGTCACGGCATTGATTTATATGCTTAGCAGTGTGCTATGACTATTAGTCCCGCAGCATTGGAAAGACGCATGTGTGAAATCTAAGGGAGCCTGTGTGTGTGCCCAAGAGGCACAAACATAAACATAAATATTTCTGGAGTCAGGTGCTTGTGGTGAAGTGAACCACCAGCGCCATGGACACCTTTCAGGGACTCCAGAGGTCGGTTTTGTCTTCCTGCCCCTTGCCCAAAGAGGCTTGAGAATTCAGTCATGTTGGACTACAACACAATTTTTTCTTTATCAGAGAGATAATGGCTTAAAACTGATGTCATTATGAGGCTTAAATCAACTTTGTGCTTGGACATGGTCACCTGGGTACCGGTGTGCAAGGACAAGGGAAGGTCGACCAACTCTGTCTTTGAGCCAGTGATACCTGGGCTGTAAAATTGAGTTCCCAGAACAGTAATCTGTCAACTGTCCCCACAACATACATTTTTTAAACCTGTGTCTGCATTTTCTTTTATAATGAAGGGGCCAGTTACTCTGGGAAGAAGAATGGTAGCAGGCCAGAGGGGTCGTGGCTGAAATAGCTGGGGATGCCACTTTGTGGTGCTGTCATGAAGATGTGTCCACACACCTGCTCATGGCCTTGGCTGAGTCACCGTAGACCTGTCTGTGAATGTCACGTGTAGGCATGGAGGGAGAGAGCTATTCTGAAGGCCTGTTTCCCCGAAGGTTATGAAACAGAGGCATGTTTTTGATGTTTGTGAAGTGACGATAGGGCCGTCTGTCGTCTTACCTCATTAGTCTGTCTGCTTTTCTCTTTGACCTCTTTAATCATAGGACCCTTCCCAGCACCAGTAATTCCATACAGAAATATACTCTCAATATCATTCTGATCTTCCCATTTTTGTTAGTTATAGATAAACCTCATTGCTCAATTGTGTGCCTGTTAATGGATTTGTTTACTCAATACCATTATTCCTGTCTACCATTTTGGAAGGAATACTTGCTTTCTAGAAATTTGATACCATTTAGCCTGATGAGTGACTACCCTACTTGTGTCAGTCTTAAGTCTATCGTGAGATCAGCATTCAAATGATACATCCTTTGGTAGATAGTGTTCGTGGAACTCACAGCTAAACACCACCACCAAGTGTAGCACTGATGGAGGGAATGGATCTGACTGCTTCCTTCCAGATCTAATGAGAATATTCTTAAACATAATTACCATGTTGAAAGTTGACCCAGAAGTCCACGAGTCACTACTTTATTTACCATTTCTCCCTGTGGATGATGAAACTGAGTGGGTAGCCCAGTGGAATCAGAGGAGAGTGATGGCATGTTCCTGCAGGTGTGACAAGTCTGACAAGGTTTGTCAGTATTTCTGTATTCACAGCTCACTTTTAGTTTTCATTTAGGTTTGCAACAGGCCTTAATTCACTTTATTTTTTATATTGTTATTATTTTTTAAAATAATTTTTTTTTTATTGATTCTAGAGGGAGGGGGAGAGAGATAGAAACTTCGATGAGAGAGAACATCGATTGGCCGCCTCCTGCACGCCCCCACTGGGGATCGGGCCCACAACCTGGGCATGTGCCCTGACCGGGAATTGAACCGGCCACCTCTTGGTGCAGGGTCCACGTTCAACCACTGGGCCACACTGACCGGGCCACTTTATTTTTCAAATGGCTTCAAAGTTCTGCTCTTTTTTTTCTTCAGAACGAAAATGTGACCAGCTGTTAGACCCACAGTCCTCCAGGCTTCCCACGTCCCCTGCCGCCAACCCAGAAACCGGTTGGGGAAAGTGGCGGCGGCTTCTTTTCAAGGGTGTTCACTCCATGGGAAACAGAAATAGGCGCCAACGTGCGTGGCTCTGTCAGTATGCGCCTCCGACAGGAGCCTGTCCGCTGCTGTTCGCATGGGTGGGCGCCGTCGCAGGCCCTCCTGGGCGCACAGAGGTGTGGGGTGCCTGTCCGCTGCGCACACGCCCCGCGAGCCCCTTCCCCGGGTGTGGAGAAGACTCACCCAGATGCAGCAGAGCCGGACCCCGGATTCTGTAGTGACCTTTCCCTTTGTTTAATTTGCCCCCGAGGTTTAATTTCAAGGGACAAGTAATAATTGAATATGCCTAATAACTAAATGCTCATTTGGGACAAAATCCATCAAAATATAATTGGCATTTGATTTTTATGAAGGAAGAGGAAAAGCGACATGGCTGTTGAGGATGCGTCCTAAGAGTATCTGACCACTTAATGTATCATTTGAGCCCTCCATTACAGTATATATTAATTGCAAATCCTTAAGTATTTGAACATTTTTGTGGAGAACCGTTAGGAGAGATCAACTGTTTTTGTTAACACTTCTCTCAGAAAGGCGGAGAAGGTTATTGGTCTGCTGTGCAATAATTTACTCCTCTTTGATATGCAAACGATCCACGGTGAATATAAAAAAATCCTATCAGACTCATTTCACAGTTCTTAACCACTCGGGTTCTCTTGGGTCCATCGCCTCATTAGACCAGTGCTCTCCAATGCTAGCATAATTAAAATCTTTAACAGTTTAGCAAAGTAAAGATGTTTGGCTGATCACGTTGAGATGATTATCTATCCATTGTATTCTAAATGACAAAAATAAATTAAATTTAGACCTTGGCATTTTTTATCATGTGTTTCAAATGAATATAATGCACATAGCTTTCTTTTTTAATGCGATACCTTACACTTGGTGAGAAGCCTGCTTGGGCTGCGGCCGTGGGCTGAGAAGTGACCGCTCCTGGGATGGCTGCCTCCTGGGCAGGGCTCGTGATTTCTCGGGGTGTCCTTTCCAGGAAGCTGCGCTTGGTGGTGGTGGCCACGTAGAATATTCCCTCTGGTGCGTACGTGCCCTAGGGTGCGCCTTGCGGTGGGACTGGGAAACCCGGGCTGGGAGAGGCAGAGCCCACCAGAGCCCAGGCCGCGGCCGGTCGTGAGACCAGCGTGCTGACTGTGTCGTTGTGGGGAGTTAGGATGCAGATCGACACTTACTCTTAAGACCCGTGTCCACTTTGACCCCGTTGAACAACAAGAGCACTTTATTACTTCAACTTGACTTCACGTTTTCCTTTTCTTCTGCAATGGTTCATTAGCATTGCTCTAAGAAATGACAGTAATAATAGTGCTACTTGTGTAAAAAGTTACACAGTTTTTCAGTAGACACATCCATCAATTAAGCATGTGGTACAAGAAACCAAAATTAATGAGGAAGATAGGTGTGTTAATGAAATAATCATAGTATAATCAATTTGACTGTTAAAAGTTGAAAAGCATTTCAGGAAGACGATATGAATTCATAATTTATGTCTAAAAGTGATTAATAAAAACTATATTTAATAACAAAGCTATTTGTCATCATTTAAGACTTAAACTAAAAAAATTATTCATTTTTTGGTTTGTGTTGTCATAATAGTATTGTTGAACACATTTATTTTGAGTCCTTTTTTGTGTCTAAAAATATGTAACATCTATCCACTCTTTTTACCACCCCCCCCCCCCCCCCCCAAAAATCTAGAAAACCCGGTTTGGATGGAGGCTCACAGTCTGGCAAAGTGGCCGTGTGACAGGACTCTCCACCGGCGCCCAGGGGAGGACAGGGTTGTCACCACCACTGTTTGCTTTCGTTGGGAGGGAAAGACCACCGAGCTCCCGAAACCCCAGAACGCGAGGCTTTGTTTACTGACTCTTTGATTTAATTACTGTTTGAAGAGGACAGAATTGGCTGTTAATTGATTTAATTATCCAATTTGTTTGTTTCAGGCATGATTCCAGCAGAACTGCAGCAGCTCTGGAAAGAAGTGACGAGCGCTCACACCGCGGAGGAGGCCACGGTCGGCAACCACAGTCTGGACCTGAGCACGACATGCGTCTCCTCCTCTGCCCCCTCCAAGACCTCCTTAATAATGAACCCACATGCCTCTACCAACGGACAGCTCTCGGTCCACACCCCCAAGAGGGAAAGGTAGGAGCGAGCCGCCGAGATATGTCCACAAATGTCCAATGTGGAGGGATGGCCACGCCTCCCCATATCTCCAGGGTCCCGAATCGGCTCCCTGGACCTTGACTGTGCATAGAATCACCTAAGAAGGTGTTTGATGTTTGGGTGTAAACACCGTATTATTTTCACCTTTTCAACATGGAACGAGCACTTAGTCGGTCTAACCTAAACTTAGAGGCAGGCAGAGCTGCTGGTTTCTCCCTGGATGGGCTGGAGGTCCAGGCTTCCAGGCCCCCTCTCCCTGCAGAGCGCTCATGTGCAGGTTGATGGCATGGCTCTAAACACCTGAGGGATGGCAGGCCCCTGGGGCAATTTTGAATGGTGATTTAAGAAAAAAATAGAACTTAAACTACTCTGCACTGCCTTCCTTGAAGGCAGGGAGCCCATGTTTATCATCATGGTGTCCCCAAAGCACATGGCCTTCTTGGAAAACCCTCGGTGAGGGTTGAAGGCTGGAGAGGGGAAGGGCCCGTGTGTGGATACACGGACATGCGCAGCACACCCCCCTCTTGATGGTGGAAGACATTGTCGTGTTCTGTCTGGAAGTTGAGACTGTACTTTTAGTTCTTTGCGCTTCCTCTGAATGTTGAAGCCAAGGTTGTTTCGTGGACCCGTCCTGTGCGCATGTGGTCCTGAGCAAAGGGAGCTGCAGCGCGGTTGTCACTGCCCCGAGGGGCAGCACGTGGGCTGCCCTTGTCAGAAGGTGTCTGCACACACAGAGTGCTCCCGGAGTTCAAGTGCTTTCAGTTTGCTGCTTTAAACCATCTCATGTATATGTCGTGATGTGGAGTTTCTACAGACAAAAGGAACCTCAGAAGTGATACGTAACTATCATTTCCATGCGTTCAAAACAAACTTTATTTTTTTAATAAGTGACTCAGTGAAAGTGTTTAGGTTATGTTTCCACTTAAGCGATTACAAATATAATTTCAAATATTTCTTGAAATGTCAGGAGGCCCACTGGTTTAATGAGATGTATATCGTTATACCAGCAGCATTTTACCCATTTGGAGTGTAGTAATCACAAAACATGATCTGAATCCATATGTTTCTGTGCTTGTATCACATTCAAGTGTAAAACCCATGAGTGGTTCCCAAAATGAGATTTATACATGTTTTAACCAAAACTTGCAACTCACATTTTGAGATCGGTGTGGAGTTCCCGTCAAGACGGAAGCTCAGCCCGCTGTTGCACGCTGGCCTGCGCAGCACTGCGGGCCAGTGGTGGTGGTCAGTCAGTGTGGAGCCGCTGGGCCAGACCCGGCTCCTGCTCCCGGCTAGGGTGGTTCGCTGCATCCGGAAACCAGTCTTAGCTCTTGCTTTATGATCTTTTATATTGTCTTTGTTATTAAAAAAATTAAAAGCACTAACCCTTAAACAGCTTTGAAGAGAAGTCCCTAGGCGTTTGCCGTTTGCTGTCCTTGCTTTGGTCCATTCACTGGGAGGGGCTGACATCACCCTCATCCTAGGCGGAGCCAGGGCTCACGCACGGAGTCCCGCTGCAGTCCTGGGGGTTTGTTGTCATCTTGTCGGCCGCGGTGGAGCTGCACGGATGCCCGTGACAGACTCCTCTTGTTTGGTGCAGTGTGCTCAGTTTCGTTCTCGAAGGTTGTGTTTCGGCCGTCAGTGATAGGTTAGCAGTGCGCAGGTGGGAGAAGAGTGGCCCTTTCATGTCTTACGGCGCATTGGGAAGGAAATGGATCGAGACAGTCTCATTCCAGGACAATAAGTTTGTTTGACTTTTTTTCTGGTTGTTATTTGTCTGCACAAAAATTGAGCATAACCTTCAGTATACATGTCAGAATTAGAACATTGGTCAGAAAAGAGTCCCGGTCTCACTGATCCTTAGTCTGGGTGTAAAATCAGGCTGGATTGTCCAGCTGCACATGCAAAGAAGAAACTGAAATGACCTGTCGCCACTTCTCTCGGTTTGTATTACCTGGGAGGCTCCTAGGTGTGGCTGGATTAAAAGAAAATTCTGATTAGCACATTTTAAATAAGACAAATAAGGTTGAAGATGGTTAAAAAGTGGTAACTTTACAGAACTGATCATGAAAAACTCAACTATCATGTATATATATAGGCACGTCCAGTGAATGTTAAATGGTTTTACCTCGTTACGGTTAATTTTAAAATCGTGTGTGTGCTGTTCTGTTTAAATAGTGGACATGGTCAGAAAGCTATCCCTATAAAAGGGGTTCTCACTGGCACCAGAGGTGCCATTGGTGTGGCCGTCCCTTGAAGCTCGCCCTGTCCTCGGTGCCTTTGGGAGCATGTCCACGAGCCCCCTCGGGTTCCTGAGCACAGTCTGGATACGGACCGTCTGGCCCGCACACTCTGATCTCAGGCGAAGGGTTCTTTTCGAAGGGATTGGGAGTGTTCTCCTGGATAGTTTGTTGGGAAAAGGCAGCACCATGAGGGTTTGGCTGTGGACGCGGCCGCTGTCGCACTGTGGCCGGCTGCGTGTGTGTGGCTGGGCACCGCCTTCTCCTCAGCCTGCCTCCGGCTGCACCAGCCGCCGCCGCAGCTCTGGGCTCTGCTGAGCTACAGCCTGTTAGGAGATAAATAACACGCTTGGCGCAGCGCTCCCACCCTCTTTAATTTGTCTTCCACAAGGAAAATGGTAATTAAATCATTCAGGGTACACCCTTGAGTGCAGAGAAGGGGAAAAACACACTTTGGTAAGGATTGCCATTCGAGACCCACTGGCTGTCACGCAGAGTCCAGCGTCTCCCTGTGCCTGGATGAGTGGTCTGTGTCATTCGGGAGGTGATGCCAAGGCCCAGGTGAAGGTGCTGGAGACCCGTCCCCGTGCAGTCACTGACACCCAGCACCATTGGAATTCAGGACTGCCACCGGGCTTCATGCTTTGATTTTCTTCTGACAATATAATCACGTTTTTTGTGCTGATTAAACATAAATTCATTGGTGCAGTGAACCTACCTGTGTCGGCAGTGCCTGGTAGGAGTGGGTGGGCGACCTCAGCAGCAGAAGCTGAAGGGAGCTGACCAGGGAAAAGTGCATCCTGTCTCCTGCTGTCATTTTACTCCCAGGACCAGGGAAGGAGGCTTCTTAGGTAAAGAATGAAACTCAGACTTGGGGTACCTTAAGCATGACAATATTATCTTGTTTTCTTAACTTGTCTCTCTTGCTTTAGGAAATTCCAAGTTTTGGTGTGGGTAAACAAAATCAACAGAATGCAAATGAAACATTTATTAAAATGCTAAATTTAGTAAAGCCCTTGGAGCTTCTTGGATCAAAGCAGCTATGTAAATACAAATAGCAATTACTACTTAAGTAATTGCCTGAATTAAAACTCTAAACATCACATTATGTTTTAGTGTGTTCAGGGAAGGGAAGGAGCTCACATTTAATCAGCTCTTTCTCTGTACCAAGCACTGGCTCCCCTCCCATCTTGGGAGTGATGTCTCATTTTACCCACTGGGAGCTGTAGGGATTATTATGTCCGTTTTACAGATGAGGAAAATGAGTCATAGAGATTAAATAACTGATGTAGGGTCACAGAACTGGTTAGTGGCATATCCAAGATCTAAATTCAAGTCTTTCTTTTACTTTGTAAATGAGCACGTGAGTTCCCATTCAACTGAGAAGTGAATCACAGCCGTGCCTTCCCAGTGATGTGGCCCCGTAGAACTGCAGTGGAGCTGAAGAATCTCTGTTGCCCAGTGATGTCTTATGTCACCGTGCAACGCATTGCTCATGTGTTGTGATGCTGCAGTAAACAAACCCACTGCACTGCCAGTCACACAGAAGTACAGCCCATATAATTAGTGCAGTACATGGCACCTGCTAATAAAGGACTGGGACTGGTGTATGTTTTTACTGTCGTGTGAAGCAGTGGCTGTGTTACCCAGGCAGCAGCCGCATGCGTCTCGCGGTTGTCACGTGTCAGGATTGCATCGTTTTCTCTCGTGCGTGATTTAATCTCAGGTTGTTTAGTGCAGTTACATGCTGCACAGGCTTGCAGCCCAGGAGCAGCGCCAGGTAGCCTGGGCCTGTCGTGGGCCAGACCATCCAGGCCAGTGTAAGTGTGTCTGTGATGTTTGCTGAGCAGCCCAGTCCCCTCACCGTGCACTTCTCAGAATGTGTCCTTGTCGTTAAGCATCACATGACCACTTAATTGTGATAAATTAAAGTCAGTGTTCCTAAAAGAACTTTTAAATTTAATTTAAAATATATTCAACAACACTTGTATTCTTTTAACCTACTGTGTGCAAATCACCATATTTAAAGGAAAATAACAGTTCCCTTTTAACTTTGATACAGATATTTCTTAGCCTTTACGTGAAGGGAGGGTACAAGTAGGATTTGCAGAATATAAATTATTTACGGTCTGAAACAGCACACAAAAAACAGAAATGACTCCCATGCAGGGCCTGCACATAGACACATGCACAACAAGCTTCTCTATCTATAAAAAGCATCCTCACTTTGCTTTCTGCCGTGTAAACCCTACCCTTCCTCGTTGCAGACATCACATGGTCTCTATTCTATTTCAGCTGTCCTCTGTAGTCCGTATTAAAAATATTCCTTTTTTGTGATCCATCCCAGATTTTCACTTTCAGTTTACCAACCATTGGTGGATGTTTTATTTCTCAGATTCATAGCTCTTCTAAATATTTGTTCCAAGGCTTCCTTAAGCATTGGGTGGAGAGGTCTCTTTAAACTTTGGAAAGATCCCAGTTGTGCAGCCTCCTCTTTCGTTGCAGCAGCCACATTGTTCTCAGAGTCAGGTGACCACATCGGGCCCCTTTCTCTCTGAGGCCTGGGTGGCCTCGGTCCGCGCCTAGCGTCTCTTCCTTCCTTTCCATCCTCGCTGGTCGATGTAGCTCCGTGCATCTCAACTGCTCGCATTTTCTGCACTCCACAGTTGGCAGCTCTTTTCAAATAACCCCTGAAGGTTTTTGCTTGGCTAGTGTACCATCAGACAGTTTCACTTGATA